GCTTATGTGGAGGCAAGATCTTCCTTTCTCGACAATATTAAGGGAAGACAGTTTGATGATGAGAAACTGCGCAGAATCCAAGATAAGGTATTGCAAGGGGAGGCTAAAGAAGCGACAATCGATGAGGAAGGAGTTTTGAGGATTAAGGGAAGGGTATGTGTACCCCGTGTGGATGATTTGATCAACACTATTCTGACACAGGCTCATAGTTCAAGGTATTCGATACATCCGGGTGCAACCAAGATGTACCGTGACCTAAAGCAACACTTTTGGTGGAGTAGAATGAAGCGTGATATTGTGGACTTTATTGCCAAATGTCCAAACTGTCAACAAGTAAAGAATGAACACCAGAGACCCGGAGGAACACTTCAGAGAATGCCCATTCCTGAATGGAAGTGGGAGAGAATTGCAATGGACTTCGTGGTTGGTCTTCGAAAGACATTGGGTAAGTATGACTCTATTTGGGTGATTGTTGATAGGTTAACTAAGTCTGCTCATTTCATTCCGGTCAAGGTGACTTACAATGCAGAGAAGTTAGCCAAAATCTATATCTAAGAAATTGTTCGGTTGCATGGGGTTCCACTATCCATCATATCAGATAGAGGTACGCAGTTTACTTCTAAGTTTTGAAAGACATTACATGCGGAATTGGGTACTAGGTTGGACCTTAGTACCGCGTTCCATCCTCAGACCGATGGTCAGTCTGAGCGAACGATTCAAGTGTTGGAGGATATGCTTCGTGCATGTGTGATAGAGTTTGGTGGCCATTGGGATAGCTTCTTACCCTTAGCGGAATTTTCATACAATAATAGCTATCACTCAAGCATTGATATGGCTCAATTTGAAGCATTGTATGGTAGGAGATGTAGGTTCCCCATTGGTTGGTTTGATGCATTCGAGGTTAGACCTTGGGGTACTGATCTTTTGAGGGATTCGATAGAGAAAGTGAAATCTATTCAAGAAAAGCTTTTAGCGGTGCAAAGTAGGCAAAAAGAATATGCAGATCGAAAGGCTAAAGACTTAGAGTTCATGGAGGGTGAACAAGTTTTGCTGAAGGTTTCGCCCATGAAAGGGGTGATGCGGTTTGGTAAAAAGGGTAAGCTAAGTCCAAGGTATATTGGACCATTTGAAGTACTTAAGCGAGTAGGGGAGGTGGCTTATGAGTTAGCCTTGCCTCCAGGGCTGTCCGGAGTACATCCGGTATTTCATGTGTCTATGTTGAAAAGATACCATGGGGATGAAAACTATATTATTCATTGGGATTCAGTTTTGCTTGATGAGAATTTGTCTTATGAGGAGGAGCCTGTTGCTATTTTAGATAGAGAAGTCCGCAAGTTGAGGTCAAGGGAGGTTGCATCCATCAAGGTGCAATGGAAGAATCGACCGCTTGAAGAAGCCACTTGGGAGAAGGAGGCAGATATGCAAGAAAGATACCCACATCTGTTTAAAGATTCAGGTACTCCTTCTCGCCCTTGTTTTCCTTCTTGTGATCGTTCGGGGACGGACGATGGGTAAATTGGTATCTATTGTAACGACCTGTTTAGTCGTTTTGAGAAGCAGATTTTATTTCTGGAAAAACAGGCTGAGATGACGAAACCCACAATGGACCGTCATGGACACGACGGACCGTCGAGGAGTCTCGTTTTAAAACACTTAGAAATTCTGAAAATTGGGTACTGAGAATCGACTCTCTGAACTCTGTGACGGACCTGCAGGACGGACCATCACAGGCACGACATACCGTCGTGATGCACCGTTTCAAAACACTTCAACTCTTGAGAATTTGGTACAGGGAACGATTCCCTGAACGTCGTGACGGAAGTGCAGGACGGACCGTCGTAGGTACGACGGGCCATCACAGACTCCTTAAGGAAATCGAGTCTCTGACAACCTGCATGACGGACCGTCGCAGGCGCGACGGGCCGTCACAGGTTGTGTAATCCCAGTCAGAGTCGGATTTCTGGTTAAGTTTTAAAGGGGCGTTTTGGACTATTCCTGCTAAAATTACATATTTCGTGGGTTTATATTAATAACTTAATTTCCTGGGGGATAAAAGAGGTAACCTTAAGTTAAATTGTGGGTTATTATTGTCATCTTTTACACTTAATTACATGTTAATTAGGGTAAAAGAAAGAGGGTTTGAATAAGAAAAATAGAAAGAGAGAGAAGGGAATCAATAGAGAGAGACGCTCGAGAAGGGGAAAAACACAAAGCTTTGGGAAAGTTGCTTGCTTGATCACTAATCTTCGGTGGAGGTAGGTTATAGTTTTTATACTATTTGTAGTAAACTCTTAATAGCGAATGATATGTATTGATAATATTGTAAACCCTGTTATATGCTTAATTGTATGCTTGCATGAATGTAATTATATAATTGTGATTATATAAGCATGATGAAGTTATTGAATCCCAAATCTTGAAAAACCCTAATCTCTTTGTTAATGATGAGGCCTTGGTATAAAAGAAGGCGTGACGAACTAAAATAATGAGATTGATGATGTCTTGGTAAGAAAGAAGGCTTGATGAATTGATAGAAGGAGATTAGGGGATCGGGTGCCACGTTCCGGTACCAAGATAGTATATGAGGATCGGAGTGTCACGTTCCGACACCAGGATAGAATATGGATCAGGTGCCCCGTTCCGGTACCAGGATAGTATATGAGGATCAGAGTGTCACGTTCTGACACCAGGATAGAATTTGGATCGGGTGCCACGTTCCGGTACCAGGATAGTACATGAGGATCGGAGTGTCACGTTCCGACACCAGGATAGAATATGGATCGGGTGCCACGTTCCGGTACCAGGATAGTATATGAGGATCGGAGTGTCACGTTCTGACACCCGGATAGTATATGAGGAGCGGAGTGTCACGTACCGACACGAGATGAATAAAGATAATGAATCTTGAAAGATGTTAATATACTCAATCTAATGAACCTAAATCCCAAATGAGTATGATGGAGAGGCGTGAGTCCTCATTGATGAGCTTGGTATTGTAACCAAGGGTTATGGTAATTGTAAATGCTGCATGCTAAGGATATTAGTTGATTTTATGATGTTACTTGGTATATACTCTTTTCTATTTTGAGTTGGCCGATGATATCTACTCAGTACCCGTGTTTTGTACTGAACCCCTACTTTTATGTTTTCTTCTTGTTTAATTGTGGAGTGCAGCAAACGTGCCGTCATCTTCGACTCAACAGTAACTCTAGCCAGTCTTCATTACTCCGGATATCAGGGTGAGCTAATGCTTCTAGCTTAGACTGGATCTTCCTCTTCGTGTCTTGATGCCTTGAAGTTCCGGCATGGACTAGCTTTTATGTATTTTTAGCTTCTTAGAAACTCTTAGATTTAGTAATTTGAAGTAGATGTTCTTGTGATGATGACTTCCAGATTTTGGGAAATAATAGTTATTGAATTGGTTTTTATTAATGAGTTTAAGTCTTCCGCATTACTTTATGTTGATAGTACATTGAAATGTTAAGATTTAGATTTGGTTGGTTCGCTCACACAGGAGGGTAAGTGTGGGTGCCAGTCGCGGCCCGATTTGGGTCGTGACTTTCACCTAAATTAGATTTAGGCTTATTTTCAAATTGATCCAAACCCCTTTTAATTTCTTCATCAACTTCATCTTCATTATGAGATCAGACAACTTTTTAGGATCTAATTGTAAACTCTGCATGCATGTCATATTATTAAAGTTAACGTAACTGAAATGAAAATAAGATGGCAAATATTAGAAAGAGTAGGAACACAGAAGATGACTAGAACTTTATTGCATTGAATGGGAAAGGATAGAAAGGTTAACAATAAAGCGAAACAACTAGAATGTTTGAATTACAACCCTGAGAATAATCCAAGAAAATAAAATAAAAAATTGCAAAACAAAACTACCATGACTCCTTTTTTGTAAGGAGAGGAGTGGCTTTCCAGGTATTGAGTTGGACATTCGGGCCGATAACCTGCACATCCATATGACTAGTGCCCTCACCCCTCTGAGTCATATTTACCTCATAAAACATTTCCTTGATACCTTGGCACATTTCATCCACATCATTTTGGATTGGTAAGTCTGGACACGGTTCACCTTGAGATTTAATGAAAGACTGAGCAATATGGGGGATCGGCTTCGACAGATTCCAAGCATTTCTTTTACGATCTTTTGCCCATTTTCTATCAAATCTAGTTGGATTGAAACCCAAACCGAATGTATCTTGATTACCCATTGGACTGATAGGATTCACAATTCCTTGCAACGACAAACCTAACCCCTTTCCGGGCTCATAGCCATTTTGTACCATTTGATCCACCACCATGACTGAAGTAGAGGATAGACGAGGTTGGAGGATAGGATTTCCTTATAAGAAATGATTAACCGTTATTATCTCCAAAGCCTGATAGTTGAGGGATTCACAATCTCTTTTAGCCTCAATGCATGGTATTGAAGGATATCGGGTGATTGGGAGATTATCTTCACCATGGACAATGATTTCTTGTTTGTCATGTTCAAACTTGACCACTTGGTGTAGAGTTGATGGCACAACTTTTGCCATGTGGATCCATGGCCTACCCAAAAGCAGATTGTAAGACGTGTCCATGTCTATAACTTGGAAAGTGATTTCAAACTCCGCTGGTCCAATTGTAACAATTAAGTATATTTCGCCAAGAGTATCCCGTTTTGCACCATCAAATGCCCGTACACAAACATTGTTAGTACGAATTCTATCAGTGTTGATTTTTAAACTCTGCAAAGTGGAAAGAGGGCATATGTCTACACCTGATCCTCCATCGACCATGACTCTCTTCACATAGTGTTCTTCATATTTCATGGTTAAATGTAGAGCCCTATTATGTCCAGATCCTTCCAAGGGCAATTCATCATCAGAGTGATTCTATTCACCTCAAAAATTCGATTGACCATGTTTTCCAAGTGACCTACCGTAATTTTTTCTGATATATGTGCCTCATTCAAAATTCTGGTCAACACTTCACGATGTTCTTTAGAATGTATGAGTAATGACAATAAAGAGATTTGAGCAGGCGTTTTCCTCAACTGATCTATAACAGAATAATCCTGAGCTTTCATCTTTTTCAGAAACTTCAGCATCTTCCTCAGTGACTGGTTTTTTCATCGGCATGTGATTTTCTTTGATTTGTTTGTCCCTCCTTAATTCTTCTGGAGTATAACATCTTCCGGAATGACTCAAGCCTCTTGTTTCATTTGTTTCTTCGACAATCTCTTTTCCCTTGTGAGTAACGACGACTTTGTTGTAGTTCCACGGAACGGCCTTGGTGTTTGTGATGGGAAGTTGTGCTGCAATTTGTATCACAACTGGATCTTTCATACCTTTTTGATTTTGATCAAACGTTGAAAATTTACCAGGAATGTAGCATTTTGGTCCATTCAATGGTACGTCTCCTCTTTTTATAGACTCAGGGACATACAACACTAGCTTCCTCAAGTTCCCAGAATTCGAACGTGCACCTTTAACAATTATCGGTGCCCTTTGTATGGGTTCTAAAACCATACCAGATTCTTCTCTTAAAACCTTGCTTTCCACTTTTGTTCTACTTGTTTGCTCATAATCTTCAAAAATGCCAACTATCCCCACAACACGCTCATTATTATGAGCAGGGAGTGGGTTATTGGTGACATTCGGTGCTTCCTCATTGCGTACCTCGATTACCTTATCCTCATTTAACTTCTCAATGACTCTTTTTAGGGTCCAACAATTCTCTATGCTATGACCTGGAGCGTTGGCGTGATACTCGCATATAATAGTTGGATCAAAACCTCTTGCATTTGGATTGACAACGTACGGATTGACAGGTTCAACCAGTCTCAATTGTATCAATTTTCGTAACAAACTCGTATACGATTCTCCAATTGGGGTAAAATTTTCTTTTTGACCTTGTTCTCTCGTATTGTTTGCCCGGGGACGTGGACTATATGGCGCCTGGAAATTTTGTTGTTGTGGGCGAGAAACTTGTGGGGTAGGCACCCGCCATTGTTGGCGCGAAGGAGGCCGAACAGATGCTTGAGTATTGAGAACTGCATATTGGGACGGGTAATAATGCCGAGGAGAATTATATTGTTCTTGTTGGACTTGACAATAAGGATTGTTCATGCCTATTTGAACACCCCTTGATTCAGATGCCGCCATGGACCCTTCCTCCTTCTTTTTTCGATTGGTAAAATTACCGGATCCACTTTGTATTGCTTGTGTGGTAGCTCTAATGGCTTCTTGACTCACAACCTTACCCGACTTTATGCCATTCTCTACCATTTCTCCGATCTTAATCGCTTCGGCGAAAGGCTTGACCATTGCGGCGAGAAGATAATGAAAGTAGTCAGGTTCTTGAGCCTGGAGAAAAACATCAATTAGCTCATAGTCTTTCATCGGCGGTTTGACTCTAGCCGCCTGCTCCCTCCATCTTATGGCATATTCCCTAAAACTTTCTGATGGCTTTTTTTTCATATTAGGTAGGGAATTGCGATCGGGAATAATATCAATATTGTATTGAAATTGTTGGACAAAATCTTGTGTCATATCATCCCAAACGTGCCAATGAGAAATGACCTGATCGATAAACCATTCTGATGCTATGCCTGTGAAACTCTCTCCAAAGTAGGCCATAAGAAGTTCTTTTCCTCCGGCTCCTCTCAACTGATTACAGAATCTTCTCAAATGAGCCACTGGATCGCCATGACCATTATACTTATCAAATTTTGGAGTTTTGAACCCTAGAGGCAAGTGAACATCTGGAAACATGCACAAGTCCTTAAATGATACACTTTTGTGTTCTCCCAGACCTTGCATATTCCTTATGTTTTGTTACAAACTCCTCATTTTTCTTGCAATTTCTTCATGTTCCTTATTCTTAATGTTTTTCTCAACTTCAACGGGAGAACTGTATTGGTGGTGGTAAGAGTTAGGAACATTGAAAGTTAATTTAGGGGCATGACCTTGGCCGTATTGATCTTTGAGTATAGGGTCATCATTGGATTATTGTACCAGTGTCGGTTGAGGAATTGTATTAGTTTGGACAGTAGGCATGAAAAGTGGATTATTCATCATTGATGGTTTTAGCGGGTTTACTGAGGAAGTTCCGGCAGTATTAGATGTGTTAATGTAGGGTCCAAACCCAGGTGGATAAACCGGGTCACTTGTTGAGACTTGGGTGGGGAATGGCATATTCGCATTTAAATATTCTCGAATTGAAGGCGGAGGAGCTTGCCCATTCATCCAAGCTTCGTACATTTCGGTCATCTGTTGTCTTAACATTTTCACCTCTTCTACAGGTACCGATTCTTGTGCAACCATTTGGGTTTGTGCGTCGTCATTTTCCGACTCTGTTCCGTCTTTATGTGTCATTTTTTCTTTCCCTTTTGATCTTGTGTTATATTGATGAGATGCCAGCTCTCCTCACAAACCAACCACCTTTAAAACTCTCTAAATTCTCATATATATATAAAAGAAACGTGTTAGGATTCAACATATTGAGGATATTAAATTCACATTGTATGTTATGCACCTAGATTTTCATATGTCTACAATGTGTTTTGGAAGACTTTTATGTTTCATCCCCGCTTTGGATGACTTGCTTATGTCATTTGGTCTCCTACTTTACTTACTTGAATAATTTGAATGCATTTTGATCGAACCTATTAAAGGTTGCTTACGTATCATGTTTGAACATGAATCAGATCATTACGTAGTTCATTGGATAAATTTCTTTCAAAAGAAAAATACGAAATTTGTTTAACTTGAAAATACCATTCAAATCAAAATAACCAAAATAAAACATCAAAGTACTTATAAAAAAAATGACGAACTAAAAAGAGGGAAAAATAATAAAACAATAAAAAATCCATCTCCGACATTTCTTGATCATCAATTGCCCCCTAAGCTAGAGTAGATCTTGAACAAAGTTTTCGGCAGATGTGGGGCTAATGCACGCGCCTCTCGACCCAGGCTCTCATCACTTCGATGGAGATGACCATTATAAACATCAAACAAGCTTTCTGTCAACTGAAGCACTTATCATTTCGCCTCCTCCATATTCTCGTGACAATTCTGCAACCATTCTTCGGTAGTGATAACTGTATCACTAAGATGCTCTTCATGTGCTTGAAGCTCTTCAATTTGGTTATGAAATTCTTCACGCTCTTCCATCCATTGATTTCTTTCGGTCGCCACTTCTGCTTGGTACAATGTGAAACGGTTTGCGATGTCCCTTTCTCGTCCCATTGAGGCTTTTAATTGATTTTGTAACCTAGCTTGCGCATGTATTAAGAGGCTCTTTTCTTTCTTACATTCTTCCTCCTGTTGCTCCATAGCACCTGTGACAATGCCCAAATCTTCATGTAGGGTTCGAATAGCAGATAGATGCTTCTTTTCAACCCTTTTCAATCAAAGTAACTCTTTCCTCGAATATTGTATCACGTCGAGCCAACTCTTCATTAACATTTTTTAGGTCATTGTTTAGGATATCTAAAGTAGACCTATAATTTTTTTCCACCTCGAGTCGGGCCTGCTTGATTCTTAGTTCAATTTCCTCTTCTTGATCTATAATTTCTCGCGCAGATCCTTCGGGCATTATTTTGAGAGGGGTTTGATCAAAGAACCAATGGAGGTATAAAGGGTCAACTTCTCCTTCAACATGATCATCAATCATAGCTTTCGAACTTAAAGTTCGACTACCACCCTAAATCTTTTGAGCTTCTGATTCTCGATCTCGATCTTCAAATGCTACTTCCCGCACAAAATTCCGCGTATCCTCGGCTTTAGGTAAAATTTGTTTTTGTCCAAGTTGGCGTAGAACTCGGACGGGTATGTATGGTTGGAACCCACGAAGGCCTGTCAGAACAAAGAATGGACGATAGAAAGACATAACAATTACCTCACTAGCAGGAAACCAATGATAGTTCCATGTAATTTTAGATGCCGTCAGTTTAAGAAGATAATGTCTCCATGCTTTGACACCTTTTGGCAATTTGTCTCCTAATTCTTTCATCCTTTCTGGGTGGCTCAAAATATAATTCGTCCAATCATATTTGAAATCCGTCGCAAAATGATGGCGATATAGGTGCTCTAAAAACCACATTTGCAATAAAATGCTACAACCTTCAAAAAAATCTTCCCCCTCTCTACATTTAGTCAAAGCACGATAAATATCAGCCAACATCATCGGCAATATAGTGGATTTTCTTTTCTTTATCATAACAGTGACTATCCCTGACAGACGAATATCGATTTTTTTATCCTTCCTTGGAAAAACCATAACTCCCAAGAATGCTACCATGAATGCTTCTTGTCTATGTTTTTCCCAAGTAGGGAGGTGTTGTCCATTTTTAAGTTGCTTCTCATAGCTTGAAAATCCTTCTTTCCTTCCATATCTTGAGTACAAGAATTCCAAAGAAACCAACCCATTATCAAAACACTCACATTCCTTATGAGTATGGATGATGTGCATCTGTTCTAAAAATTTACCTCTGCTGACACTCCTAGGGGCTATCAGTGTTTTAGTTCGAAGATCCTGGCCTAAGACTGTGAAACCACCCAATTCTTCTAATGTAGGCGTCAACTCGAAATCACTAAATCGAAACACATTATTTGTGGAGTCCCAAAATGGAATCAAAGCCTCGATCAAACCTCTGTTAGGACTAAATCTCATGATATCTGTAAGGAAACCAAGATGTTTGAATATCTCAGTCCGCCTAAATTCATGCATATCGTTCCACCAATCCATTAGTAATTGTGGGGTTTTATCTGTGATCATAAACTTTGGGGGATCATTGGCCATTTCGACTAGTTCATCCCTTGGTATTTTATCACACCTCATAGATCTCATGATTACATGGTTGAGAAAAAAATCAGGATTTTTAAAATCAACTTTAATTGTGAAAATTTTATGATTCGAAATTATTTATTGGAGTAGTTAAAAAAATAAAAATGATTTGGAATGTCTAAAGTGATCATTGATTGAGGTTGTTTTGAAAAGATATTATATTTATAATTTATGTATTATTTTAATAAAAGTGAAAAATAAAATTGAGGATTAGGTGTGTATGTATATATATGTGTATTAATTTGTTTATTTTGAATCATTGGTTGAAAATGGGTAGAAAATAGATATTTATTTCTTTAGTCGATTATCCTAAAGCCGGTCAACATTTTGTTACAGTCTTCACATGATGCAACAAGTAACACAAAAATGCACATGATGGTCTCACGAATAGATATCTGTCTTAGTCAAATTGGGCCCCTATGCTAAATTCCGCTAAGTTACATCCAACAATGCAAATAAATTGGAACCTAGTAAGGATTTCATGTCTGAAAGTTTCAATTCTACTAAGGTAAGATATCTAGACTGGCTGTAAAATGAGCGGACAACTCGAGTCAGGGAGTAGCAACGTACCGGTAGCAGCGCTTTCCGGCTTTGTGCATGGGTGCTCCCTATCCTAAAATGGTGTGACTACATATCCTTCACCATGGACCGAAGATCCACTGGCTATCTTGACAGAAGTGGGTGCATAGTTGCAATTCCCATCATATTTTATTGAAGACCCAGAATGGTTCGGGAGAGAAACAATTCAAATATTATCAAAACATTAAATAAATAAACAATTAGCATATTAAGTTAAATAAATACAATATCCAAAAATATAAATATATAAATCATAGTCATGAATAAATAAATATTTAAAGCTTGAATTCTAGTTAGTGTTCCACAGCGGAGTCACCATCTGTCACACCCCTTTTTTTTTCTCAAGATATTATTTGATTTTTATTTTTTGAAAAGAAAAAGAGTTTTTCCAATTAAAGTGACCTTTTGAAAAGAGATAATTATTATTCAGAGTTATCACTTGGAATTGAGTTTTGGTGTTCCAAGTCACCTTATTTAAATCCCTAATCAAAAGGAAATTTGACTCTATTTTATTGGTCTGCGAACTAGAAATTCGGGTAAGGAATTCTGTTGAGCGAGGGGAAGGTGTTAGGCACCCCTCGAATCCCGTGGTTCTAGCACGGTCGCTTTATTGACTTTTAATATGACTTAACTTAATTTTTGGACACTGTATTATTTAACTTAATAATAAAATTGTTATTTATTTTCAGATTTATTTTAAATTTATTTTAAATTGGTTTATTTATTTTAAATGGTCTTTCTTCATTTTTTAAAAAAAATTTTATATTTGTATTTTTCATTTTTTAATTTTCCTTTTTTTAATTAATTTTTTTATGCTTTTATATCTTTTTATTTTTTTTACGTTTTTCTGTTTGTTTTTTTTCATGTTTTTTTTTCTGCACGTTTTTGTTAAAAAAAATTCTGTTTCTGTTTTTTTTGGAAAAATCTACTTTTTTTTTTGGTTTCTTATTTTATTTTAGATTTTATATATATATATATATATATATATATATATATATATATATATATATATATATATATATATATTCCTTCTGTAAGTCTGCTTCTTTTTCTTTTGTTTTTATTATTTTATTTTATCATTATTTTTATTATATTATTATTTTATAATTTTTGTCTTCTTCTCCTTTTTTTTAAATAATTTTTGTTACTTTTTTTCCTTCATTCTTTTTTTTGTTTTATATATTTTTTTCTCTCATTCTGCTTCTCTTCTGTTTTTTTTAATTTTTATATTTTCTTTTTTTCACGTTTCTTTTCTTTCTTTCTTTTTTTTTTTAAATTTTATGTTTTCCTTTTTAAAAAATCTGATATTTTTCTTTTCTTTTTTTTCGTTGTTTTTTTTTCTTTTTATGTTTTAGGCTTTCTTGTTATTTATTCATTTATTTATTTTGTTCTTTTGTTTTCTTTATACAATTTCTCTAAAAAAATTTATTATAATTATTAATAGTAACTATCACTAATTTATCATGAATCTCTAGATGAAATTTACAATTCTACTTAGATAAAAAAAATTACTAATTATTTATATATCCTAATCTAACAAGTCTATAATAAATCCAATAAAATCTTCTAAAGTGAAAATAGAGGGAAAGATATATTAATATGGTTAAATTCAACAATTCAATATGCGACATAATATTGCAAAATCGATCTAAAAAAAATATAATAATAATAACAACGTAGCAATAATCAATATAATACATGTGATTTGAAGTATTTCATGCTATCAACTTTTCATAGAAATAATATTATTTAGATCATGCGAGAAATTATAGTTACCTCGCTGCGAAAATTGATACGAAAAAAGCGAGTTGTTATCCACGAATTCAGAATCACGATCAAATCTCTAACTCTAACCTAATTCTCAAAAGAAATAACTCGTTTTTTTTCTATATTTCTCTCTGTATTTTTTCTCTATATCTTTCTTTTCCACTCTGTATTTCTTTGTATATGTGTATTTGTGTCTATGTCTATTTTTTCTTCTCAACTGAACGTGTTTTTATAATAATTTTGGCTGAGAATTTGATGCTAATTAAAAGGAACCTAATAAAGTTGGATTAGGATTTTATTTGAAATATTGTTGAGGGAATTGAGGTTGAGATAAGGATGGATATAAAATAAATAAATAATAATAATAGAAAATTAAAAAATATAAAAAAAAAAGTCAAATTAACGTCAAAGAGAGAGAAGAAAGAAAAAATATAAATAAATAAAATAAATTGGATGAGATTTTTTAGTAAAATAGGTTAGGAAGTTGGGAATAATTAGGATAAGGGGAAGGTAATTTGAATATTTAGGACTCCCCTTTTTTTCTTCTTCTACCATTATTTTTAAACTAATTAAAAGTTGACGATTTAAAACAAATACCATAAATTCATAATTTTTATCATTAAAGTAATTCACACAATTTATTTATTTATTTATTTTAAATATAACCCTTTTTTTAAAAATTGGTGTTTGACTCTTTATATTTTGGTAAAAAATTAGGTGTTCACAAATGCAACATCTAGTTCGTTATAAAATAACTTTGTGTCAAACTTACGAATATTTTGAATAGCTTTAAGGGCATCTGCTATCCAAACACCAAATTTGGTGTAATCAACTCGAACCTATTGAATCAAATTTTATACTTAAAAAGAATCTTTTTTCTCTTTCTTTATTATTATATTATTATTTTTTATTTTATAAAAAAAATGGAAAAAAGTCTAAATTGTCCCTAAATTATGTGAAATAGATCACTTGTACCCTTCGTTACATTTTGGGATGAAAATGCCCCTTCTGTTATCCTAAGAAACCACATATACCCTCAAGAGTTAACACCCTATAGTTTTATTGACTTGATTAGCCACGTGGGACTAATCCTTCCATCTAAGCATTGTCAAGTAGGATTCACTACAAAAGAACTAGACTTTTAGCGGCGACAGTAGTCGCCACAAAAGCCTAAAACATTGTCACTAAAAGTTTTTAACATTAAATTATAATTTCGTATTTTTTTCTTCATTGTTTTTAAAAAGACAAAAATGATATCGATTAAAGGAGTTTGAAGAAAATGTATGTTTTATTTTTATGTTATATGTAAATGTATAGAATGTACAATGATGCATTTTATATAGTAGGAGATATGAATCGAGAAGTAATTTTTATGATTTTTCATAATAATATCGGATGTCTTTAATATATATTGCAAGTTATTTATTTTAGAAAATTAGATTGCAATCAAAAATTAATTATCACATTTTCTGGTTGAAAATATGTTTTACTAGCGAATGGTTGTTGGAGCCTTAGTCGTCACTAAATTACTCATAATCTTTAGTGGCAATATTTTGGGATTTTGTGACAACTTTGTCACCACTAAAGATCAAGTTCTTTTGTAGTGTATCTTAGTTGGCAACACTTAGGTGGAGGATTAGACCCATGTGGCATGTCACGTCACTAAAAAATGGGGTGTTAACTCTTGAGAGTATTTGTGGTCTACTAAATTAACGTCGGGGGTATTTTTGATCCCAAAATGTAATGAAGGGTATAAGTGGTCTATTTCGCATAGTTCATGGGCAATTTTGACTCTTTGCCGTGAAAAATTATTTCCAAAACATTCACCACATATAATTCATATTATTTCACTTATAATCGTCTAAAATTATTGTGTACCATAATATTTTAAATAATATAAATTGCTGGGAAATAGTATACATCATACGTAATAATGAATAACACAAATAAAAGTGAAACTATTTATGAAATACAATTAAATAAACAAGACATAATTGAAAAAGTTATTTTAAATTCTACATAAGTATTCAACTTTCAAGATTACTACGATACTCCCATAAATGTTCTACTAATGCATTATGTAGTTTAAAATGAAACATAGAGCTTTGAAATTTGAAGAAGAAAATAAAATTATATTCATGAATGTGAATGGTATTGCTGATCCGAGATGTTTGTGAGTTTGTTTGACAAGAACAATTTTAGCAGTCGCAACTACAACCACAATAATTTTCGATCCCATACAATTCATATTTTAATAGTAATGATGAATCCGGAAAGAATCTATCAGATTATTAAGTTATTATTGTAATTTTTAAAAATTACTCTGTTTTGTTGTACTTGTTAACATTAATATGTATTTCATATTTCAATTTTGATGTATGTCAATTACTTCTTAGTTGAATGTTTATTATTTTCAGTTATTTCTAAATACATTACATTATTTGTTTAAAAAATTATTTATATGCATTTTTTATTTTTTGTGAAGGTTTATTATAGTTTATATAATTTATAGTAGAATTAATATAAATTTACTTTTTAAAAAAATCATATATAGAAAATTAATTTACAAAAAAACAAATTTTATATCGAAAAATAATATTATAAAAATA